AATAGCAATTATAATAACACACATCCGCAAAATAGCAATAATAATTGTAATTGTCGAAATATAAATAGCTGTCCACTTAATAAAAATAGCTGCCCACTTCATAATAAATGTTTAACAAATAATATAATATATAAAGTAAGTATATTAAATAGTATTTATACAAAAGAAAAGATTTACATAGGAGTTCCCGAAACCACTTTCGAAGAAAGAATTAATGATTATATGATGTCATTTAAAATTGAAAAATATGCAAATAGGACATTATCACTATATATATATATGGAATCAAAACGAAAATAATATACCTACTAAAGTTAAATGGGAAATTATAAAACACTATCCCCATATAATATTACCAATGGTTATAGTAGACTGTGTTTAGTAGAAAAATCATCAATATTAACTTTTAATAATGAAATTAAATTAAATAGGAAGAATGAAATAATGGGACGGTGTCGACATATTAACAAATATTTACTTTGTTATTTTAATAATAGTATAACATAATGAATCAATTAACATATTAATTAATAATACAAATACAAGATAAAATATGATTTAATTAATAATACAAATTAAAAAATATTACAATTTAATTAAGGATATGACATAACATAACAACAACTTCTATATAAAACAAAAAACATAATTTAATTTCGAAGAAAAATTTAATTTCAAAGGAAACATTTGCAAGTGAAAAAAACATCTATTGTTGCAAAAATGAATACGTAAAAAATAGCAAAAATTCATGAACGTGTGCGTGTAAAAGAACGTTAAATTCACGAATACGTACGTGTACAAACACCCTGGACAAATATTCACTGAAAGACTTTTTAGAGAATAAGAACTGATTATGTTCATAAATTAGTAGAGTCCGGATGAATCTAAAATTTAGATTTATTAATCTCAAACTTATTGGCTAATATATATTTTACAAGTTTTTAAATATTCCTTTTAAGAAAGACTATTGTTAAAACATATCCTGAAGTTGAGACGCCAAAATGTCCATTTTAAAATATTTTACCTTCTGCCAATTCAAAGAATACTGCGCGTCTCGTTCGACGTTGTTGTTGGTTGTATTATATATATATATATATATATATATATATATATATATATATATATATATATATATATATATATATATATGAATACAAAAATTCAAATAACTGGAGCATTTCAGTTTACAAAATTTGAGTTAATTTCTGTTAGCTGGTTTTGTAAACAGAACTAGTAAACAGAACTAGAAACAGTGACAGAACTATTAGCATTTTTTAACAATTGCGAAACTGGGCTCTACAAATATCCTCCCCCAGGGTCGATGTGAATATCTCGAAATAGGTAGAAAAATGCTTATTAAATTGAAATTAATGCAATGTGTAGGAATATATAATATTAATTATTAGATTAAGACATAGTACTTGAATTTTGTTTCTTCAAATTTTTTGACGATAATAAAAAAGCTTTTGTGTTTTAACGTTTTCGTCGTAGTTTCTTTGAAGTGATTTTTTTAGTGACGAACAAAAATGATTTTTGCTGCTGTTTAGATCGGGAGTCAAATAGGTTAAAGACAATGTAGTGTACAATTGCCGTGTAAAAGAAATTTTCACTAGTGTTGTTTCTAAGCAGAAACACAATAGGTGACTGTTGAAAAATTTTGTTGCATGTCACTAGGAAACATTCTACAATAGGCGTTTTAATGGAGTATCCTTCTGTAATTGTCGTCTGTAATATCGGATGGTTGTAGAAGGAATTATTAAAAGTAGTTACCCCGTTTACCTTTTTGCTATTAGTATAAATCAATGCGACATTAAAGTAGCAAAAAAGTCTTTGAAAAGTCTGTTAGCACAACATGTGATGTTCCTGAAGTTTGCATGAGTTCCCAAGAAAAAGCAATATCCAGGTACGAAAAACATTATGTGGAAATATCTGCCGACATTTTGTTTTTAGAGATGAACGTTTTCCATGTTGTAAAATATAATTTTTAAATACTGGAAATTTTTTTTTCGCCTTGAAGGTCACTCAAAAATGAAACGAAATTTGGTCAATGAAATAGAATATTTTTTTATGAATTTGTTTCATAGTTGTATCCTTAAATTTCTACAAATTACACGAAATTTACAACTTCAATGTTTTGAGTATGTAACTGGTAGAAATGCGTCAGCAATAATCTTGGCGATGTCATTCGTGAATTGAAAAATATACAATTGATTTTTTTTTCACATTTTGTATTACAGTGACGAAGTTAGATGTTGTATTTGGTGAATGAGTTTGGTGAATAATTTCTATGTGACGAAAATATCTGTTATCAAGACAAGAAAATGTTCACGACAGAAAAAATATTTCTTCACATAAAGAAATATATTTTCTGTCGTGAACATTTCTCTGTCTTCATAACATATTCACATATTGCATGCTTGCTGAGAAAAATGAATGACTTTACTTTGTTGATTAATGATGTACGATATCTGTTGAAAAATATAGTTGCAGTTATGTTTCT